AGGGAAGGTGTGGGCGGTCATTTGTCACCCCGGAAAGCCTTTTATTACTATAAATTTAAAAGGGTGTGATAATTGACCGTCCCACACCTGCCACGAAAATTAGACTTGTTAATTCGATCCGCCGCTGACCTCAGAGTGTTTTGTAAGAAGGCTAACAAGCGTAAACTTTTGTCTGCCTGAAGTATTCTTCATGGACTTGGTCATTTACGACGGTGGCTTGGATCTCGTTGAGCCAGCCTTTGTCCCGTAGACCGATGCTTGTCTTTGGAGCCCACATCGAGTGAGGCAACCCGAAGTAGTGTGGCTTCAGGCTTGCGCATCTCTGCTTTGGCATCGGCATGTTGGGCCGCGCTGCGGCTTAGCTTGGGCTCTTGACAAGGCTTCGATCCTCCGTGAGGGCGGCCTTGTCAAGACAAGGATTCGGCCCACTCCGAAAAACCACACAGGAACCGGGGGCTCGGACGACTTGTTGCAACCTTTGTGTCAAAGAAGTGCGATTGTACAAATCGCTCAATGCATTCATATTAAAAAAAAACAATCAGCTCAAACATGTCTCTGCTCAATGGCTCAGGCACCTCCTGGACACCGGTTCTCAGAAGACAGTGACTGTGCAATAGAGCCTTCTTCTAATGTCTTCTTCATTCTTTGGAGCCTCATGTTCGTACCTGGAATCTCTAAGGAGTCCAGTTCAAAGGGTCTTGAACCGAATGAGGAAGACGTTGCTACCCCCAGTGGTCCATATGCCTTCCCCTTAATGTTGCTGGCACGATGTGCAGCGCCTTCCGTTGCAACAAATGTGTCTCTGAAAACAAAGCCGTTGTCAATCGGCAATGAACATTTCACTGGCGTCAACGTCTTCGGTTCATAACGCATCACATGATCATATAGATCTGGACGTGCCGGCTCTTGTTTCAATGCAAGTCTAGCAGCCCTGACATTGATATTGCGCCCAGGGTCAACCTTGTCAGATGAGCGTGCCATTCAGAGAGACTTCTTCCAACGTGCTTGCAGCTAAAGCAGCAGGGATCACACCGCACCTGTTCCGAGACCAGCTTCCTTCGTCCCAAGTGCCGACGTGATGTCAGCCTGAAAACCGTTCTCTCACACTTCATCTGCATCAAGCGTCGACACTCCAAGCATTCTCCCATTCATCTACGCCGTAATCTACGCACTCTTGGGCTTGCGGATGCGTTTGTCGCATCTCCCGCGGTGGCCGGCACCTTTGTCAAACACCTGCTGCGCACCAGCAGCAGCAGCACCTAGAGTGCTACCATCAGCACTAGCAGTTTCATCTCCACCTTCATTCTCCTTCTTCTGAGACGTAGGCCGTGGGCCGTGGGAACAAAGCCCTGGCGATCGATTCCGCGGTGTATCCGGGGTCACGTCTCGAAGGAAAAACCACAATAGCTCCCCACATAGCTCCCCACTGAGCTCCCCCAACTCAAAGAACCCGACCGATGGGCGGAACATGAGCCTCCCTCCCTCAAAGACCCGCCTTTGAGGCCAACGAACAGAAAGAGGTGGCCGTGCCTCAGGTGTCAAGCGGCAAACAAAAGCCAGGAGGGTTTTAGTAGCTTCTTGTTACTACTAGTAAGGCACCTGTTACTACTAGCGA